CAGAAGAGCTCCAGAAGGTTCCAAACTGAGAACTCTGGACTCAGATCATCTGCTGCACACAGTTCTGATCACTTATTATCAATAAGAATTTTATTAACAATTATCATGAGGAGTCCTTAACTAGGATGTAGTTGGGCAATTAAATATTCATGTATGTGTAAATTTATTAGCATAATTGCAGGTGAGTCACGTAAATTTATGTTTTAATAAACAAGTAGCTCCCCCCCAGACCAATTTCCCAGGGGAAACACTGGAATGTGTGTATTTAATTGTTTTATTTTGTATTACAGGACATACACTCAAAGATGACAGGGTGTCAAGAGCAATAGGCCTGGCAAGAAGGTTGTGGGGCACTTTTCCCACAGTTGGAAGAAGGCAGCAATGACTGAAGCACAGAGAGAGCTCAAACTTCCTGAACACAGCCTCATCACTGAATGCACAACAAGATGGGGATCCAAAGAAATGATGATGGCCAGGGTGCTAGAGCAGCTCAAAGCCATTTCTCACAGGTATTGTCAGGTGACCGTTATGCACGTTCCCTTATCCCAACCTGGCAGGATATTGAGATGTTGGAGTCTGTTCACAAGGTACTGTATCCTCTCCTGGACTTCATAGATGCTCTCTCTGGAGAGGAGTATGTGAGCATCTCCAGCTTCAAACCCAGAGCTCTAGAGTGCGACCTGATTTCCTAATAGTGTGATTAAAAAAAAAAAAAAGTCCAATCGCACTGGTGCGACCAATCGTTCGAGGGGGAGGGGGAGTGGTCGCCCGCTGAAACACAAAGTTTCCATCATGTTCCATAAAAAAATGAATCCAACAGTATCAACCATAAGAGTCGCCCGCCGACACAGTCTCCATGTCTCCTAACAACACTGCGCTCTGCTCGCGGGCTCCGCTGCACACCTCCTGCGAGCGTGCGTTTGTTGTTCCATCTTCATGGGTACTTTGCATTGGCTTCCATTGATAATTTTATACCGCRATATATGTATACCGTTACCGTGAAGGGATTCAATTTATACCGTAATATGAATTTGAGGTCATACCGCCAAGCTTTACCGACAGTYGTCTTCTCAGCCCCTCTGGTTAGATTGTGTGGGACTACCAGACATCTTGCTTGGAGGATTTTGTGTTTAAGATAAAAAAAAATTAAAACAAAACTTGTCCAGTGGTGTAACTCTCCATTTGACATATTTGGTCTTGGTCTTATGCAGGTTTTAAATATCTCAATACTATAATGAAAGAACTYGTGCAAAGCAAAATTAAATAAATAAAATATTTAATGCACATATGTATTGTGGTGTGTTTAATGTTTTATTAATTTCTTTTACTATTGGAACTTTAAATGCGAGATTCTTGCTTTTTTTCCATCCTACAATTCAATGCACTTAGTACAMTTTATGCCCTTTATTAACKTTGAGCACCTGCCCCTTTAGTGGTCTGTGCACGGCCCTGTGACTCTGTGTTCATTCTGTAAACGTTTTTGGGACTGATCCTATACTCTGGAAAGACACACTTTTGCTTATAGAAAGTTTGATATGGACCCAATTAAAACCATACTATTTGGCTTTTTAATATTAAAACTCCAAGTATGAGCTTTTGTTGCAAATTAGTATTCATACTGGCTAAATTTCATATCCACAATTAAATTTTTTAAACCCCAGTGGCTGTGTAATGCCTATTTTTCCTCTACTACGTGTATTAGCTTCATAAAGCTAGCTGTAAAGCAAGTATATGGGCTTTTATTCGCAGTGCCTAGCACGTGTCAGTATTTTAGCTTACCTTTGGCAGCAGAAATATTACTAAAACGGATCTGGGCCGGCTTGTCGCGGTCCACATACGCCCCTCCTTTGTTTTTGCCTCCGCTTGAGTCTTTCTGTCCGGCCATGGCTTCGGGCATCACGCCTTTAGATAGATACGATGGTAAATATTGACGGGATTCTTAAGGGCAGGACTGATTGGAGCCCGGGGATTCAGCAGTAAAGTTTGGCCTCGGATGGAACTGGATTGAAGTGAATTCCCGTCAGAACCTTCCAGAGCCTCGGCTGCTGCGCGAGAAAGAAAGATCCGGCTTAACACGGACAAACGCAGACTGATGACGCAATCAGACAATACTAACCGATTGKGTGCTTAAAAATAAAAACTATCTAACGAAGTTTTGTAATARCATAATTCGACATATCGATTRWTATCTTAGTAATAATTAACAAATAMACTTAGGTCACTTCYCGCTGCAAAGACACTCTCTTACGACACTTATCTGGGTTGATTAGTTTGGTCTGTGGAGGTGATAACGTCATAAAGAAAGCGACTTTCTGGTGATGCTAGTTTGAATATTTYCTTAGGAACCCTTCAAAAAAAGGTAGGTTCACTGAAAGTGTTACCGTTAACCCACTTTACTTTATGCGTATACTTGAGTTTTTAAAGTCTTGGTAAACATGATCTCACCATCAGTCAGGTGTTGCATCAGAACACGGTCTTTTCTTTGAGATATATAGCGCTTTATAAAAAAAAAGAAAATAGGCTACAGCTAACATGAAGCATGTAAGGCATGATTTACCATGAACTCTTCATGGTAAAAACTTTATAATTAGCACATGTCTGTGAAATTCTCAGKTTTGCACAGTCGTCTGAGTGGTACTGATGTGTCAGGCTGAAATCAGAAGAGCCAGCAGACCTCAAGTTTTTTTYCCCCCTTTTGCTGCCCTTATCACCAGTCATGTGGGGAAATGGATGAGCAAACAGTTTTCGATGGCCATTCTCCTCAGGGGTGGTCCTAGCTGGTTTGGTTCACTGGGCGAACAACTCCTCTGGCACCCACCAACAAGTCCACCCCATTCCCCCAAACCTAGAGTTAGACTTTTAGATTATTGTGAACCATAACACACACACACGCACACACACACGCACGCACACACACACACACACACACACACACACACACACA